GAAGGGGGTGGGTGGGTGGGTGTAGAGGAGGAGGGGGTGGGTGGGTGTAGAGGAGGAGGAGGGGGTGGATGGGTGGGTGTAGAGGAGGAGGAGGGGGTGGGGGGTGGGTGGGTGTAGAGGAGAAGGGGGTGGGTGGATGGGTGTAGAGGAGGAGGAGGGGGTGGGTGGATGGGTGTAGAGGAGGAGGAGGTGGGTGGGTGTAGAGGAGGAGGAGGGGGTGGGTGTAGAGGCGGCGCCCACGCCACCACCCCCGGCTGGTCACGGCGAGGCGAGCGGGCGAGCGAGCACGCTGCCGTGAATGTGCACGAAGAGCGGCAGGAAGGAGAGGAAGTCGAGGAGGTCGAGCGACCGGTCCTGGTGACCGCCGCCGCCTCCGTAGCCTCGCACGGCGCGCTCGTGCCGCGGGCTGACGCCGCCCGCGCGTAGCTCCAGCGCGAGTTGGCCCGGCTGGATGCGCCGCGTGTGCGCCTCCACGTTGCACTCGAACAGGGCCTGCGTGACGCACAGGATAGCGGCGAGCGTGCGTAGCGAATCGTGGTCGTGGTCGTTGTTGTCTTTGTCGTGATCTTCGACAACGAAACGAAACTAGACAGCTACACCATTGGAACCTTATTTGCCAGTAAATATATAATTGTTTTTTTACCCTTTTATCTGGCAACAAAAAAGGTGTCAGTTTTGTTGCCAGATAAAAGGGTAACAAAAACGATTATTAGACAGCCACAATAGACTTGGAGCTTTCGTGACCGCAGGAATTCTTATTCTTTTGGGTCTTTCGGTAAAGTCACGTTTCGATCGCGACACAAGCAATCGTCATCCTGATGATCGTCATCCTGATGATCGTCATCCTGATGATCGTCATCCTGATGATCGTCATCCTGATGATCGTCATCCTGATGACGATCATCAGGATGACGATCATCAAACGTTGTAGTTTTTTGTTAATTGTTTTGTTCTACGTGACTTTACCGAAAGACCCAAAGAATACCCATAATAGAGGCGTTTTTTTGGGTTAGATCGCGTAAATATATAAATGTGTCGTTAGAACCCGCCACCACCCGACTCAACAGCCAACTAGTAAGGGTTGTTGCGTTAACAGAACGTGCAAATTCGTCAACGAAACTGACCAATTTTTTTTATTTGACCAGATAAGGGGCCCGAAACTGAGCCGCTAATATAGCTCGGTTTTGTTGTTTCCAGAAGCGACCTGGCCACCACAAATGGTAGCTTCAACGAGGCCGGCTTCCCATCACCGCGTGGGAATTTATACCAGCGGCCAAATTCCAAATAAACGCAACGATAACGTTGATTCTGATTGTGGAGGGGGTGGTGGGGGGGGGGGGAAATAAAACCTGGAGGAGGACCCGGAGCAGTAAAGTCCACGCGACCACGGGGAGGTAGAGAGGCAGCAGGTAGATGAAAACCTCCTGACCCGTGGCGTCGCCATCAGTGGCGTGACGTGGGAGGTTTGGTTTGGTTGTCCTCACCCCCGCGCTCACCCCCGATTAGCACGGTTGGTTGCGTACGGTGCGAAAGAAGTTCTTGGGCACCCGTCCCCCCTCCCCCCTTTCTTTGTAGCATGAATCCTGAAGCTGCGGTGGAGTTGTAACCTTTGGTTTCTCCAATTCAATATGGGAAAACATCTTCTAATGTGGCGGTGAATAACGTTGGCAAACGCGTGTCTCCTTGTTTCACTTGTCTGCTAAACTACTAACACTGGCAGACTGGTGCCCTTCTGCGGGCAAGGTGGTGTGACAGACACTTTGTGCCACACAGAGACAGCTGGCACTGGGGCGCGTTTTCAAAATCAAATAATCACTTTCTGAGGTTAGCATTATTTGTTAAAGGCTTCGCTTGAGTGTGGGATGTTTTTATTGGCATTCCCCCCATCGATTGCGAAGGATGGTGGCTCACTCACCCTGGCTTTACTCATGCGCATCTCCAGGGCCTTGAAGTCCATGTGGTTGATGAGATTTCGCATAAAGTCACTGCGCACATACAACGCACAAACAACAACAACAGCCGCCATTCGCCACGAAGTGGCGGTGACGTGCCAGGCTACGTGCACTTTAAAGCCACGTGAAGTGTCGAACGCCCGCAGGCAAGGAGGTCACGGGACGCAACCCAGCAGGTGCCGTGGGTTGACTGGCTGAGATGACTGGCAGATACACAAACAACGCCACCGTTGCCACTGTGGCGACATCATCATGGCGCGGTGTGTCTCGAACTTTATTGGCCCGCGTACCACTCAGCTGATGCAAACATTTCAGCAGGATCACCAAGCCCCCAAAACCCTTGGTGACAAAACACATTAACTTATCTTTCTAAATACCATGAATAGAAAATGCTGTGAGCATCACACTCGGTTAGAAACATGAGCTGCAAGACCTACACCGAGGGGGCATGACTCTCATTGATGGCCGTGACGTTACAGGTTTAAGAAAACAGAACTTACAGCGTGTTGTCAATCCACTGCTTGATGAACACAATGTGTACCGATGGAGGTTGTTCAGACCATACTTCACTCTGCTGTGCAGTGCGAGTCGTGAAAAGTCGATCAAGAGCCAATTCAGATATGCCTCGCCACTCATGCAAGTCACGGCCGGGAATCAACCTCAAGTCAATGGGTTCATGGCACAGTGCACCAACTCCTGGAGAATATGGTTTGAATCCTCAATGTTTACAAAGGACAAATGAATGATTGTTAAAATAAATGTTTCTTGCGTAGTCGGCAGGATTCGAACCTGCGCGGGGAGACCCCAATGGATTTCTAGTCCATCGCCTTAACCGCTCGGCCACGACTACTCACGCAAACCGGCTTCCTCTATACCCTACTTCTTCTTCAGAGCTATTGTCCTGGTGTGCATCTTCCTCTATGAGTTCTCCCCCCGCCTATATCTCGACAGACTCCGAACCATCGCCATCCTCACAGCAACGCCGCTTGGTGTCTCTGCCGAGTGAACAACTTCTCACCACGCATTCCTCTGTCCCTTCCTCTCGAACTCTTCTTCAACGGTCGTGGTTTTAACTTTTTTTCTGATGCAATCTCCTGTCTGACAACGTTCCCGAAAAATCTCGCTCGATTCTCACTCATCTTTTCCCCCTCGACTATCCAGGCTACCTGCGCCTGTCATCTCACTTGCTCTTTCCTCGCAAGATCTTTTTTGCAGACTTGTCGAATCCATGTCGGCATTCTTGGCTGGGAATAAAAACTCTGGTCGCCGAAATCATGGGAGCTGTGTGGTAACCACTGCTCCACCATTCCCCCAGCGTGAGAAGAGCACACATTATTCACGCATACAAACAGAAAAAAACAGATGCGTAGTCGGCAGGATTCGAACCTGCGCGGGGAGACCCCAATGGATTTCTAGTCCATCGCCTTAACCGCTCGGCCACGACTACCCTGATGATGCAGCTTAGAGCATCACACTCTTTTATAAAAATGGGCTACAAGACCAAAACCGAGGGGGCATCCCTCCCAGCTTGTTGTCAATCCACTGCTGGATGAATGCCTCCGCACACCATGTCACCCATGGGGATTTCGCTCGACTGGGTGATGTAATCTTCTTGGTTCTTTCGGTAAGTCACGTAGAAGGGAAATAATAACATAATAAATAAATACACATAATAAAATACAATTCTCACGACGTTTCGGCCACAACGCAAGCAGCCGTCCTCAGGTGAAGAACATGTCCGTCGGAAAGACAGCGTCTGAATGGGTGATGTAAGTTGTAAAAAGTCGATCAAGAGCCAATTCAGATATGCCTCGCCACTCATGCAAGCCACGGCCGGGAATTAACCTCAAGTCAATGGGTTCAGAGCACAGTGCACCAACTCCTGGTGTATACGGCTTTCACCCCCAATGTTTACAGAGTATAAATGAATGATTGTTAAAAGAAAAGATTCTTGCATAGTCGCCAGAATTTGAACTTGCACGGGGAAACCCTCCCCACTCAGATTTCTAGCCCATCGCCTTCACTGTTCGGCCACGACCGCTCACGCAGTCTGCGCGCGTTATTCAAAGCGGCTCCACTGCTCAAAGAAGCAAATTGAGCAGCGTCCATCTCCGCTGGAAAGCCCCAGTGGTAGCCGTCTCTCCCGGTGTGGTCATCGCCACCGTCGACTGCACAAAAAGCGTTATTCATCTTATCAGTCCCACGGCGGCGGGGGGGGGGGGCTGATAAGCTGAGTAAACCCAAAATAAACTCAACAAAACTCTCAATTGTTGAGTCTAGCTCTCTGACCGCGGCACGGCGCTGCCCAGAAACCAACGAGATCTTGCGATTTCTGAGCGGCGTTATATAAACACAACATAACAAAGTCTCTCCTGTGGCATCATTGAGGGATTCCCATAGAAGTCAACCCATACGGTTTACCCCGTATTCTCGTAGAGGGAAATTGAGGTCCATACGGCGTACAGCCGTTTCAATACGGGAAAAAAATAATAATGAAACGGCCAAATAAAAAAATAATCGTGGGACATATTTTTTTGTTTACTCTGGAGAGCAGCGATCCCCATAGGAGCGGACAAATTTGATCCGGAATTACAACACGAATGTGTGCATCCACATATCAAGCAAGCAGCAGCATCAGCATGCACGACCACAGACAGTAGCATGATACGTCGCATCATTGAGACACATTTCTGAATACACAAAACAGCTTTTGTGCTTTGTCAAACATAATTTTCGCCTATTTGTTTGTGTTTCTCCCTTGTGATGGGGCTTTGTAGGATGAACGTTGATATTTAAAAGGGCACGAGGTGACCAATACGGTCTGAATTGGTCTGTAATAAGGTAGGGCACTGATAAGGGGTTGACGGGTATTGATTCCGCTGTCGTGATGTGTGGCTTTAGGTTAAGCAGCGAGCACCGTCTGCCCAGAAATCGATACAGCCTCCCAGGAGAACATGTCTGGCCATGAGCCACTCATCAACGCACCGAACCAGGGGACTCGTATTCACCACACAGTGCATTGCACCTCTTGAGATATTGAGGGTTGTTGTTTTTTTACAACAGAATTCCAAATGGCTCTTCTTGGTATTTTGGTAGCCGGTGCCTGGCACTGGAGGGTTAAAATTCCGACCTTCTTTGTGCTCTAATTAATTTGGTCACGTGAACAAATCTCCACGGTGCACGTGGTCTCATCCGATCTGGGAACCTGAACAGAGGTGTGCCCGCAACATTTAGAATTCCCATGCAATGTAAAATTCCTCTCCAACACACCGATGTCCTGTACTCGTAAAGAGAACAGGGCAATTTCTTACTAATTGCTAATTAGTTACTAATTGGCAAGTTCTGTTTACGTGGCAAATCTTACTGATTGGCTGTGTCGGGTGGTGGCGGTTTTAACGACACATTTCTATTGAAGCGATCTAACCCAAAACACCTCTATTATGAACCCAAGCAGGTTTTTGGCCTGCATAGTGCTTTGATGGGTAGGCCATTCTTCATGAAACAAAAAAGTGTGAGAAGCTGCTGCGAGTGTACGATGTTAACAGACGGCAGAAAAGTAAATGATTGTCCTGTGTGCATCTATGCTCCAGTGTCTATCCCTTCCCATCTTCAGCGACACGCGGCGCGACAGTAAACGTGGCCCAGACAACCGCCATTCGACGTGCGCATTGCGATCGGTCGACGCAGTCCCGAACACTCCAACGGGAATTTTCTCAAATTTATTTACCGAATCACAGTAACGAGCCAGAGAGCTTAGATTGATTTATGAACGGGATGTCAACCAGCGAAAGTCTAAAACAACCGCGAGCCTAGGGGAGCCCACCTCACGACCCTGGAGGTGTGTGCGGGTTTTTTTTCTCTCTCTCTCTCCTCTCTCTCGAGAAACACTGAAACCACTGTGTGTGTGTCCCTCTCTCTCTCTCGTGAGTTACAGCCCGCCCTGCCACAGCGCTCACGGCGCAGGTGCGATGCGAGAGCAGGAGGCGCGTGCTGATCGGCAAGCACAGGTGCGCGGCCACGCGCCTCTCACCTGTTTTACAACTCGGGTGGGGTGTGGGCGGACACCTGCGCGTTAGTGTGGATAACGGCGGGGGTAAGGGGGGGGGGTAGGTGGCGTTCATCACCAATATTGACACAAATAATGATCAGAGCATGAGCGTCAGAAGCGGGCGGGGTTGTGTGTGAGGGTATTGTCTTGTGCGGCGGGGAGCGGTGGTGCAGCGGTTAGCGCTACGCCGTGCTACGAACCCGGAGACCCGAGTTCGGTTTCCCGGCTCACGGGCAACACCGGTGACGATCATCTGAACTGGTCCTGGACCTCGGTCGACTCAGCCTCAAATGAGTACCTGGAGCGGTGTGTAAACATTACGACTAGGGAGAGAAAATCGTTCGGGCGTAGTGCTGGCCACCCACCCCCTCGTGTGCCGTGCCGGCCTTCATAGGTGCTCGCTAACAGCACTTGCCCCAACAATCTGTTTAAGGCGACACGGGCAATCATTGTTAGTGTATGTGCGGAGCAGCAGTGCAGTGGTTAGCACACGGCGCTACAAACCTCACAATCTGAGTTTGATTCTGGGCCACGGTTTTAGCTGTCACCAACGGCTGCATTTAAAAAAAATAATAATATTAGGTTTGCTTTTGCACTTGATTTGGCCGAATTTCTACCTTGACAATTGAAAAAATATCGCATTGACTGTCATGTGATCATTGCATAGTGCATGAGAAAGTGTGCACTTCAATGTTTAAAGGATAAAACATCCACTTGACAGATTTTCCTGGACAAACCCCGCGACAAATCCCTTCCACGAGTCGTACATTTTGGGGAAGGGCAAAAACAAATCTTAAAGAGGTGTGACCGGTAAATATGTTACAGGGAGGCACCTACCCTCTTACACGTGGGACTCGCTGCTCCAGGAGATTTCCGAATGGACACTTCATCATCTCGTAACGCGTCGCACAACAACACGACTGGAATCACTTCAAGAACCAATACAGAGGTGTGCGCGAGCGAGTCCGTGTAAGCAGAGCCACCCGCCCACTCGTCACCCACTCGTCACCCACTCGTCACCCACTCGTCACCCACTCGTCACCCACTCGTCACCCACTCGTCACCCACTCGTCACCCACTCACTCGAGGGCGGCTATGCGGCGAGCGAGGCTGGCGATCACGGCGAACAGGCGGAAGTCGGTGAGCCCGTCGGCGACGCGGTAATCCACGATCTCCAAAACCTGCGGCGACACGCGGCGCATCGGTGCGCAGAGGCACGCGGGAACGTCTGGACCCATCCACTAGCGAGCGCTGGCAAGCGCGGTGAAGTGTGGCGAAACGACTCCTCACAGCCGTTATTGGCGAGGTCTTCGTCCCGTATCGGATTGACATTGGGCTGCAAACGACTTACACTTGAAACTTGGTGGCCCTCACTTTCAAGATGCTGCATCCAACAGTGGGGGCGCGTTCAACGCAGGGGCCCAACGAGGCGAATATAAATACTGCCGTGCACGCGAACATCTTTACGCACTCAACAGCTGGGCCACCGGCTGGTGTCATGCGCGCGTATACGCACGTGAGCGCACTCGCACGCGGCGGGAGACGTACACGGTAGACGTACATCTCCTCGGCGTCGGACAGCGAGCCGGGGGGCAGCACCGCCTTGAGTGCGACACACACCTCGGCTCCCGACAGGTACCCGTCCTCGTCCTCATCCACCTGCACGCACACACAAAGGCAAAGGTCCCCCCGTGTAGCCTTAACCCACTGTTGGGGCAAGTGCTGTTATCAAGCGGGCACCTATGAAGGCCAGCACGGCGCACGAGGGGAGTGAGGGGCCAGCTCAATGCCCGGCCACCTTTGTCTTGCCAGTGGTGATGTTTACTACACACCGCATCATGTACTCATTGGAGGCTGAGTCGACCTAAGGGAGGTCCAGAACCGGTTCAGACAATCGCCACTGATGTCGTTCGTGAGTGGGAATTGAACTCAGGTGGCCGGTTTCGTAGCGGAGTGCGCTTAACCGCTACACTACCACACACGCACACACGCGCACACGCACACACTACCACACACGCACACACTACCACACACGCACACACGCACACACTACCACACACGCACACACTACATACATGCACACACTACCACACACGCACACACTACCACACACGCACACACGTGCGCGTGCAGCATGAGCGGTGCAACGACGCACCGATTCATTGATCGATCCTCATTGAACCTCCTAGCTTTGTGATCCTCGCGTGGATTTGCACGCATGTGAGAGTAAACATTTGGTCTATTCATGCTTGTTGTACGTCGTGGGTCCGCATGTGAATGTGACTGCGGCCATCACAGCCAGACGATCGATCGTAGAAGCCAACACCGCCCCGACGCACCGCCGATTCACGGGCAATATCACCGAGATCCACCAAGCCTCCACAGAGGCTGTGGAATGGCTTCATAGCTGCCATAGATCCACCCTAAACCGCATCCACACAAACCATGGCGGATACCTGATGCACAAATGGAAGATGTTAAAACTCTCCAGCGTGCGACTGTGGTAATCCGGAACGACGCGTAATGACGCAATGCCCGATCCACAAGAACGAAGGAGACACCACAGCGATACCACTCCGCTACTGCTCCCGACGCGGTTGTCTGGCTAGAACAACGTGAAATATGAAGTTGTAAAAGCCGTAGCTCTGCATCGACACCAGCGGCCCACACGAAAGAAGAGGGCCGCCGTAGACCTTCGCGTAATGTTGCACATTTCACCTCGCCTCAACGAACGGCGGATGACCTCGCCAGCCACTAGAGGCCGCTCCACTAACGATGTTAAAGAATTGACTCTTGAATGGAATCGTGAATCTACTGGAGGAGCCGAGGGGCGGGGCAATAGGGCGATCGCCACCCCCGATCGTGACCCCAAACATTGGTATTGATGTAGGGCCCTCGGTTTGATCCTGAATGTTTAGAATTGTGATAGGGATTGACTCAATTTCATATATATACAAAAAGAAGCCTTCTAAATGATTCATCCACCTTTGTGTATTGCGAGTGCGAGAAGCAATTCTAACCGTCGGTGAATCAATCCATCGTCACAACCGTAGTGCGCATGCGTGCGCGGGTCCTTGTACTCACGGCAGAGAACGCAAGCTGGTATTCTCCCAGGGCCTGCTGGTTGAAGATGCAGTACTTGGCCAGAAAATCGACTGAAATCGAGAACAACAGGAGACAGTTGCCCTATGAGTTATGAGCTACCCAGCCAGCCAGCCCACGTACAGAATAAACATTAAAACAAGTCCTCCAGGGTAATTGGTCCTTTGGTCAGCAGCAGTAATCTTCTTGGTTCTTTCGGTAAAGTCACGTAGAAGGGAAGTAATAAAATAATAAAAATAAAACATTATAATATTATGTTTTATTTTATTATGTTTTATTTTTATTATTTTATTACTTCCCTTCTACGTGACTTTATCGAAAGAACCAAGAAGATTAATCCCTGCAGTCACGAAAGCTTTAAATTAAAAATTCAGCAGCAGTAACTCACGCCGCCAGTTTCTCAAAACAACAGTCAACTTGAATTTTCCATCTCACGTTCCCATTATAAAACCTTGCTGTCTGCAGCAAGCTCCGTGTGTTCACGTTGGATAGACCACGGGGCCTACCCTAACACTATGCCGGCCCTCTCGCCTAGATGCCAAGGTGTGTGCCCATATCCGCTTTCTACTCCGCCAGCTTATTTCACTGAAAAGTCCAAAACATAAACTAAAAATATTTTTTTTGTATTTTACCAGGTAATGCCCACAGAGCTATATAGCTTTTCTTCAGAAGCGACCTGGCCACAAACGATAGCTCAACGGCGTGGCTTATCACGTGGGAAATTTAATACAGCCAAATAACCTAAATAATGCGGTTTGGAGGCCTTCATCTAGAAAAGGACAGATCATGGCTGATGATATTCATAGCAGCCAAATACTCTAAAGGCGTGATGTTGATCCTAAGCGTGGAGGGCGGGGAAAGACCCCCAGAGGACCCTGGAGAAAAATCCACGCGACCACGGGGAGAGAGAGAGAGATAGAGAGACAGACACGTTGTGGAAGTGAGGCAAATCAATCAAAAGTCGTCGCACAGTCGTCGAAGTTGGAGAGGTTGGGGCTCCCGCTGCCGCCGCCACCGCCACGGATCGAGGCCACCGCCGGCCGCTCGGCGTCGCGCAGTCGCTGCAGCAGCGCCTGGGCCCGCGCGACGCCCTCGGCCCGCTCCAACCGTCGCTCCCGGGCCTCCCTCGACTCCTCGCGGCCCCGCTCGGGGCCTTCCTCCATGACGACCCCGTCCCTCTCCCCGCTCCCGTGCCGCTCTCGCTCCTCGGGCACCGCTTCCCGGGCGCAGGCCTTCTCCCCACCTGAGGCGTGGAAGGGGGAAGGTGGTGGGGTGGTGGTGGTGGAGGGGTTAAAGGCAAGAGAGATTTAACGTGAGATTTAAGAGTGGTTGTTGTTATTGTTGTTGTTGTTTCGTGGCGGTTCGTGCCTTCCGGGTTGAGAACGCAACGGGATTCACAGATCAAAGGGTCCCAAAGGCAGTGTGGGATGAGGAGGATGCTGCACCAGTGTTGGGCTTCACCAGATTTCGTTCACGTGACGAAGGATTTTGGGTGACCTGGATGCGAGGACCACAGACTCGCACGGAGACCCGCAGACTCGCACGGAGACCCGCAGACTCGCACGGAGACCCGCAGACTCGCACGGAGACCCGCAGACTCGCATGGAAACCCGCAGAATCAGATCGACATCACCTGGGCGCTCGCCGAGGTGCTGAAACTCACCGGGAGAGAGTCCCTCGCCACTGGAGGAGGCTTCAGCGGCGGGAACTAACGACGCGTTGGACGTCACATCACCTGGAATGTTGGGGCGGCATCATCATCAGTCAGGATCGATCCGCTGCTGGATGAAGGCATTCAGGGCGACGTGACGCGTCGGGGAGACAACACGGGGACGGTACGAGAACCGGACGTTGAGGCACGGAAGCAAAACAGGGTAATAAGGTTCCTCATCGTGTTGCCATTTTAGGCTGAGTTCACCTAAAGGAGATCCAGTACAACACCTACCAATACCAACGTTAACAATTCGTTTGGCATCGTGCAACAACGCGAGCGTGGGTCGCCGAGGACCTGAACTGCGATTCACAATCCAGCGTTCAGCTGCTACACTCAGGGACTCCGCTACTTAGGAGCATTCGACTTACGAACTTCCAGAGATACGAACAAACCCGGGTCGTATGTCCAGTCGCCTGTTCGGACCGAGAGTCGTAAGTTCCACCGCTGGAGCAATAGACGGCGGTGGTGGCATCTACATCCGCAGAACGTGAAGTACCGGTGGCACTTACGTCTACAGGAGATTATACAACTTCTAAAGCCATTCCCCGTGTTTAGCGTACAAGCCATGCAACGTGTTTGGAATCGACAGGAGTAAAGTTCGACCTACGAACAAATCGACTTTACGAACAGACCTCTGGAACCTAACTCGTTCGTAAGTAGTCGCACACGGACGCACGCTGACAAGGCACCAGGGTCAGCAGGATCCGATCGCTTTTGTCCGCTAACCGCCGCTACCACGACTCCGACTACGCCACCGCCACTGCTCGCTACACAATGACGGCCACGTTCGCCGCCGAGTGACGGCGACGTGACCGCAGCGCTTGTGCCACGCTCGGTGCACTTTGGGGTCACGTGAAGTGTCGAGTGCTCGCTGGCAGAAGGTGACGGAACAGAGCCGCTACGCGCACGCAAGAGGCACCTGTGCCGTGCGAGCGGAACGTCGCGGCACGGCAGGGGCGACGCGTGGAGTGGCAGGGGACGTCGCAGGCCTGGACGTCTCCACGCTCGTCACAGGATGCAGCCTGGACGACGCAGCACAACGCGGCACACCACGATGCAGAACAACACAGCACACCACAGCATAACACAGCGCGATGCAGAACAATACAGCATGATGCAGCACACCACAGCACATCACGACGCAGCACAACACAGCACGACGCAGCACAACACAGCACACCACAGCACAAGACAGCACGACGCAGCACAGCACAAACACGATGCAGAACAACACAGCACACCACAGCACAAGACAGCACGACGCAGCACAATGCATGCAGGGGCCACGTCGTGATGTGGGGTCATTGGTGTGGCCCAGCAAAGGCGTGGCTCACCGCTCGCTGCAGAGGTTCACGGTTCGACTCCAACGACCGTCCTGGTTAATACCGCAGATTTGTTTAATACTGCAGGCATATTAACTGTTCTACGTGCTGCCTGCTTCACGGTGGATGTTTAAGACCCCGCGACGTCATTCGCAAGAGTAGGTAGGTCGTTGTGTGCGGGCGTCATAAGCCACATTTTAAACTCAGCCGACAAATTACCGCCCTGTCAATAGGCATAGCAATCACGTGAGAGTCATGTGACTCGGCGAGGCTAAATTCCCGTGCGGGTGTTGACCACGTGACTGCGACACCAAGGTGACCCGAGGGATAACGCGGAGCACAAACTTGCCCGCACGAGAGTTGCCGGTGGTGATGAGTGGCACATGTCAGGAGTGGTTGTTGTTGTTGTTTTCACGCCATCACGTGCATCCACTGCGGAAGCAAAAGACCGGCCCCGTTTCAGGGTAAGTTCCGACCGCGCTCTTTCTCTGCGGACGGGGAGATCGACGATCGGATGTTCTGTCGCCTGCAACAGGCAGCTCGCTGGACTTGCGATCCAGAGGCCGCCAGTGTGGTCCAGCCAGCTGTGTAAGGTCGAGTGTGGTGGGGTAAAGCGTGGGTGACCTTCCAACCTCTTGCAAGACGTCTGGCCAGTGTGGAAAGGTAGGCCAAAATATAAGACTAACCAAAACAATCATTTCAACCTGTAACTCGCAGCACAGTATTCGCTCACTCTCGGAGAGGAGAGAGAGAACGCTTGAAAAGCACGAGGAACCGGCGGCAAGGCAGTGACGTGATGAGCCCGTGCCAACAATTGCCCAGGCTCTGCAGTCCTCTGTGGATTAAGGTGTTATCGGCCAATTAGTGAGTGTTTACACGTGGAAGGAAACCGGAACCACTCGAGAAAACCCCACGTGTGCGAGGGGGAAACACTCGATCCCATGCAGACGGAATAGTTGAGGTCCACATTTTTGCTCAACTGCCTTCTGGCAATCCAGGGCGTGACACCTCGATGTCCACAGGAAGTACGTTCTGCCACATTTGCGTGATCCACCAACCTTAACATCCACGTGGTGTTGGATTAGAAGCGTGCACATCCACCACGGCCAGGCTAAAATCATCATCGGGAGTCCAGTCTAGAGGCGGCCCTTCCGCCGGCAGTAGCGCGAGTAAGAAATTGCCGGGCTGAGCCTTTATCTTCACCACTGTTGTTGTCGATATTGGACAACAGCATTGCCGTGTGAAACATTGGGGGAGCGACTAGCAGAGACCCAGACATCACCGCGTTGAACCCAACAGCCAAACTCCTCTTGTCCACCCACTTCCCTATCTGTGACTTACTGACCCCCCCCCCCTCCTCGCCGAACATCTGTGAAAAAAGCTTCACAGCTCATCGGATTGCCCCAGTCTCCGTTGAGATTCTGATTGTCTACGACATGGATATGGGGGCGTGCGCTCACCCAACTCGCGTCACTGACGTCGCTCGCAAACCGGGCCTCACCCTCCTCGTTGTGTCGCTCCTTGCGAGCGGGCATCCTCTCCCCTTCCTCCTCTTCCACCACCACCTCCCCATCGTCGTCGTCGTCTTCCCGCTGCCCCGTCTCGCCCCAGGACTCGTCGGCTCTCGCCAACCAGAAGTCCATCGCATCCCCCGACGGGAGCAGGTCGAGAAGGATGCCCCACCCCTCCTGCCTGGAGCTTGTGGTTTCTCCCACTCGTGGCCCCTCTGCACGTTTCGTTTTCTCCGGTGACCCCTGGCAATCAGCTGGGAGTTTGCCCGCGGTGTCTCCTGAAACAAGGCAGAGGTGTGACTTTACATGTGTCCAGGGGGAGTGCTTTGCCGACGGGGGAGTGGGGTGAGTGGGGGAATGCTGCCCCCTGCTCTGCGGACCAGAGGTCAATTGAAGGGATCTAAGAGAATGCTCCGTGACATCCACTTCGTTCGGTTGTTGTCCAACATGAAGGGCTCCACTGCTGTTCACGAGAATGGAAACGTTCGCGCTCATTTCCTTTGGAATTTGTGTTGCAGATATTGACGTTTTTGGTCAATGTCGGGTGAACATGTGTTACCTGCTTCCTGGCTCAGGGCTGCGGGATCAGGAGGAGTCTCAGAGTCGCCTTCCTCCTTGCATGCTCGCTCCACTGCTTTGTCCCCCACCGTGTCGCTGACACACGCAAACGCTGAGCCTGTCCGAGACACGCAACGACGCGAAAACACATGCCCAGCGTGGTGGCGCAGTGGTGGTGATCGCACTGCGGTTTAGACCTGGCGAGCCGAGCTCTTTCGCGACTCAATGTTATCCATAATAGAGTTGTTGTTTTTTGTGTGTAAGATCGCGTGAATATAAATGTGTCGTTAAACCCGGCAACACCCAACAGAGCCAATTAGTAAGTTTTGTCACGTAAACAGCACATGCCAATTAGTAACTAATTAGCAATTAGTAAGTAATTGCCATGTTCTCTTTACGAGTACAGGGCATCGGTGTGTTGGAGAGGAATTTTCAATTTCACGGGAATTCTAAATGTTGCGGGCACACCTCTGTTCAGGTTCCAAGATCGGATGAGACCACGTGCACCGTGGAGATTAATTAGAGCACAAAGAAGGTCGGAATTTCAACGCTCCAGTGCCAGGCACCGGCAACCAAAATACCAACTAATTGGCACGTTCTGTTTATGTAACAAACCTTATTAATTGGCTGTGTCGGGTAGCCCAAATTAAATAAATAAAACTCCATTACGGACGAGTTGAATTCCCGGCTGTGGCTATAACAGTAATGGGGGTTTACACACAAGCCGAGTTCCTGGACCAATGCCACAACCCCCCCCGCCCCCACCGCAATGCCAAGGCCAAGCATGGCAGCTGGGACTGAGCGTCTGCGAGCACTGGACGACCAGTCTCGAAAGCACGTGGCCGTCGACCCACCGACACGCGGGGAGATGGGTGGTAAGACGGGGTAGGGGCATCCAACCGCATCGGCTTCACCACATCTCCGCCGGCTCAAGGGGCCAGATCCGCACTCAATCCAGTTGGAGCTGCTCCTGCTGATATAAACACACACACGGCGCATCCACACAACCACACAAGTGTCAACAACATATAACAGCCGCTAATCACTCCCAAGGGACGGTGATGCTCCAACAGGTGTATGCCAGGCTGACTGCTCCATCATGTCGGTGGAGTGGTGAATGGGACAGCGCCTGGCAGTATGGGTGGACTGGATGCGATGAGTGGTAGAATGGCAGACAAGGCACCCGTGCAGTGTAGGCTGGTGAAGGGCGGAGGACCTGTTAAGATTTAAGATTCAGAATCTGTATTCATCCTGGAGAAATCTGATTAGATACAAAACTCTCTTTCACAGATGCCCAGTATCACAGATGTCAGTATCACAGATGTCAGTATTACAGATGTCCAATATCACAGATGTCCAATATCACAGATGCCCAATATCACAGACGTCCAGATTTGACTCACCACTGGCATTGGCCGTCGCTGGGAACCAAACTCAGGCCGCCGGGTTCATTTCACAGTACTGCTGTACACTAACCATCCGCGCTACTACCCCATCCTAATCAGCCAAATGCAACGTGTATGTGTAAGCGTGATGAAATCCGTTATTGTCAATCCACTGCTGGATGAGTGAGGGCCTCCCCCACGCCTTGCGTGGCCGTGAGGGTCATCAATCCCCCCCCCAACTTCGCGCAAGAAGAGCGCACAAGAGTTGTCACCACATCTACGCCTCTATTTAAGGATCGACACAGGAGGACTTCTCCACAAATCTGGCTGTCGCTTGATGAAGCTAGTTGCAATTACTGGCAAAACGTCGTACTCAGATTGTTAATGTTGTGGCTTGGCTCTCCAACACACCGGTGTTGCTGTGCTAATGACGAATTGGCCACGTTCTGTGTACGTGACAACCCTTACTAGCTGGCTGTGTCGGGTGGTGACGGGTTTTACGACACATTATATATTCACGCGATCTAACCCAAAAAGACCTGTATTATAGAGGGTTATTTTGACCATACCTCACCGCACGGGTCAGTGCGGGATGCTGAATGTGGAGCAATGCCGCATGGGCCATCTCCTCCTGCCTCAACACCCACAGCTCACCTGCAGTCTCCCGTGCACGGCGAGTGGCCCATCCAAAACACCAAACCACGCTCTCGACTCTGCTCAGCTTCTACGATCCGCACGTCCGCCGGGCGCGCGAATTCCCTGTGAAGTTGCTCGTAGGCGCAATAAAGAACATTCACCCCCCCCCCCCGCCCCCGCCAGCGAGGACTCACCTGGTCAGCGCCGATACATCTTGAGCACCTTGCACCTGAACGTCACACCGGTTCACCACCACCACCACCTCGTCAGGGAAGTCATCGAGGAGCCTCCAGCATTTATCGCGCGCGCTGGGGACGCCAGAGAAGAGAGAGGAGCGGCCGGAGAAGCTCCCCGCGCCGGGGCTCGACTCCAGGGAGGAGCAGAGCCCGCTCAGCGGCGTCACGCGTCCCGAGAGGTCATCATCTGCGGAGGGCGGCGAGGAGGGGGGGGGGGGGTACGCAAGTGGTGGCAGACGATGGCGTGGGCATTCGGGGTTTGGGAATACGGGGGGAGCAATGCTGGGCAGAGGGGATGAGGGCAGCGGCGTAGCTATTACTCTTGAACTATTTTCCATCTCACGTTCTCATGATTAAACTTTGCTGTCTGCAGCGATCTCCGTGTGTTCACGTTGGATTAGACCACGGGGCCTACCCTAACACTATGCTGGCCCTCTCGCCGAGATGCCAAGGTGTGTAGCCTATATTCGCCTTCTACTCCGAGAGGTAGGGAAGGCGGACAAGACACCACTCCCCGTTAAATTCCTTGAACCGGGGCCCATGCCGTGACGGTGGGGGTGGCAAAATGCCGATGTATTACTAATAAACCCCAATGATCCGATCGAAATTATGGATTTTGATCGGATCATTGGGGGGGAGGGCACGTGCCACCCCACCCCCCCACTAGCATCGCCAGTGCGTACCGTGTGACCTGAGCCAGGGAGTGGCACCAACGTTCCTCGGCCACGTGCCAAACTCTGCCACCTTGTGGTCTATGCCTCGGCTACAAAGACAAAGATCCCCCTCCCACGTATAGCCTATGAACAGACTGTTGGGGCAAGTGCTCTGAGCGAGTAGCACCTATTCATGAGAAACGGCACGGCACACGCGGGGGTGGCTGTGCCAGCACCACTCCCGGCCGCCTTTGTCTCCCCAGTGGCGACGTTTACGCATCGCACCAGGAACTCATTTGAGGCTGAGTCGACCTAGGGGGAGGCCCATGACCGGTTCAGATAATCGTCACTTGGTGTTGGCCGTGAGCGGGAATCGAACTCGGGTGTAGGGGTTGGTAGCGCGGTGCGCTAACCGCGACGCCACAGGCCTGGGCTACAGCGCCTCTCCCACAAGACACGATTTCCCTTCTCGAGGCGGCTCTGACATTCGAACATTTCTGGGTAAACAAAACCCTTCCCAACCCCAAACGATAACCTCGAGGAACTGAGACAATCGTCGAAACACAGCTTGGCTTCAACAATGAGGACTGTTCATCAACTCAGAGCACTGAGCAAAACACATTTGCTTAAAACCCGTGGCGGCTGTTGTTTGGCTGAGCAAGAAACTGCATCCGAATTACGGTTGTTACGCTTCGATGGCCCTTGGTGTCCCGTAGGGAGTGAACAGGATACGCAATGTCTGCACCTTGTAGCTGGAGTCCGGTCTAATATGCTTTAACTCGTATGTATGAACGCGGTGATAACATCCAACCATGTATATTAAGTGATGCAGAGAGATTAAGGAACGGACGATTGATAAGAAATGTCAGAGACGGATGAGAAACGCACTTTTTTATTTATCTTCATAAAAAGGCGTGAGAATAAATTGGGAAGACATTTAATGAAGAAATTATAACAAAGCGAGAGGAGGAAGCGACTCCAAATTGCTTTGGATTATGTAGCCAGGGCTGGCTCCAACTCAGGCCAGATAGGGGGGCGGGAGGGGGGCTCAGTAGAGCTGTTTCGTGGGGGGCCACAAGAACAGTGACGAACCGCTAAGGAGAGTGACCTCGGGTGGCCCAAAGGGGATATTTGGTGGTGCAGGGTCCACCCCAGCACCCCCTTAGCACCGGCCCTGTATACAGCCCACATAATATTATACAATACAGCATGCTCCAGATGTCTTGTGACCCCCAATTAATTGACCCCTAGCTAAATGAGGGGGGGGATCACAAGACATCTGAACCAACCTCAAGTGTACAGTGCGGATTGCTGGAGCATGGAGCTGCAACTGCCACAACGAGACGCTGTTGTGGAATTGTCGAACGCGTTCGTGGCAACAAAGAAGACGAGGAGAGACCGAGAAGAGGAGAGGAAGGTGCTTAAGGTTACAGACTTGAACAGGGGTAGGAAGTCGACTGCACGGGTGGCTGGGGGGAGAGGGGGTTATTCCAGGCCAGCTGGGGTAGGGAGGATCTTAGCAAAGAAGCAAGATTGACCTCCGTAGAAAAATTGACCTCCGTAGAAAGTTGACCTCGGTGCATGCAGGCGTGGTGCTGCATGGGACACGCGGTATCAATAATACTCGCGTGCGTGCGAGGTGCGCGCACGTGAATTAAAAGTGAGGTCGTGCACACTTGTGCCGGAGCATGGCTCACCAGATTCCAGAAGCGACTCCCTTTCAGATGTAAGGCTACGCGTCTCCATTGTCTGCTCCATTCCAGCACCAACCTCTTTCTCCCCCTCTTCTTCCTCCTCCTCCTCTGCCACCATGCCCCGCATACCCACGGGGTCATCCCGATGGTCTTCCTCCCGCTGTGCCCCACCGCAGCTGTCCCCTGCACCCACCGCGGCTCTGCCCGTGGCCTCCGGGACATCCAGGAGAGGTTCAGCCCGCTTCCTTTCCCCTCGGGGCGTCCAGCGTCCCGTTGCCTCAGGCGTCTTCTTCTCCGCCTTGCACCCTTTCTTGTGTTCCGCTCGCCTCCCAGGCCCCTCGGCCTGCGGTGAGCAGGGAGCAGGAGGGTGGGAGACGCGTTGCTTGCTCCAGAGCCGTGGCCACAGGTTCCCATTCGGCAGGGTCGCTGCGGAGACAGTTAGGAGGGCATTGCCAGGTCCCCGTTCATTTACAACCTCTAATTCCCTTGCTCACGAGAAACACATTCGCCTATTTCGTCTCTCCTGCATTCTACTTTATCCACGTTTTAGTGTTGCTGCTCTCTAACAACGTCAGGTCGCACCGTTCTGCCAGATCTCCAAATGGGCATCTCTCATGGCGTGATGCTGATGACACAATCGGGTTACAATTTTGGGTGGTAAATGGAAAATTTCTCCAGACTATTTTCTTATCTGTCATTAACAGTGGCTTCCTTATCTCTCGTTATCGGTCTTTCTTTACCTTCCCGTGCGCAACAATCTGTCTCCGTTATCTCTCCGCAGTAACAATATTTGCTCCTCTTCGCTCTGCGTTCTCTCTTACTTTAGCCCTCCACAGCTCTTTATCTACCATTGCTCATGAGAGATAACATTTGTTCTTGAAATATTTCACCCTCTCTTTACTGCCTAGATCTCCTCCTTTGAAATGCATATGTCTATACAAGTATATATGAGTCACCACTGATGTGAGCTGTGGCCAGGAATTTGAACTCAGGTCGCTGGGTTCAAAGCAGAGCGCGGCTAACTTCTGTGCCAGCGCTATCCACCGTGATCGTTGTAGTAAAATGTTGACCAAATTTGACGATGAAAATCAAACGAAAGCATTCCGCGCTTTTGCTCTTTTTTCCACTTCAAACCAGAGCCACACCGGGGCCAGGTTGTTGTTGTTGTTGTTTTTGTCATTCTCACTGCAGAACCCGAACCTTGAGCCAGACTCAGATGTTGTCGTGAGGCCAGACGGAGGTTTCACGGTTTGGTTCTGGCTCGGCACCATTAACAGCCGGTGGAAAAGCACCCGTACCTGGATGGCCTCACTCTGGCTCAGGCTCGGCTGATGCCAGCGGGGACTAGGGGCGTTTCGCGTCGATGATGAGGAGGTGCGAGTGCGGCTTTTGGTGACGTTTTAGGATAACAAGAAAAGTCTGTTTCGCGTTATCTTTACCCCGCTACGAGCTGTGACAAAACGAGAATCTCCGAAGCACGCGCACACACACACACGATCACAAAACTATACAGCTCTCACCTGGGCTCATTCAACACCTGCGCTGGTCGGCGATATATAAACAACTAACATCAAAAAAACCGCAACAAACGACCAGGTAACACTGTGTCTGTGTTCAGGGTACTGAATTGGGACCGCTGAGATCCTGGGTTCAAACCCCAGACCCTCACTGGAGTTAGAACCTCAGTGCAACTCGGGTGCACCCGTACTTTATGGCCTATGCACAGCAAAGAAATTCTCTTATGAATACAAGTAATTCATGCCGTGTTTAATTTGCTCAGGCTTAGCTATAGGAGGGTCATTAGTTATAACATACAGAGCAATCGTGGACTAATGTTTTACGTTTAAAGGCAGCACAGTCTGGAATGTTTTACAAAAAATATATATTGACTCAAAGAAATAATGAATGTAATATTATTCTACAAGGAGGGAATGCGTCCGAGAATAGGTCTGCCGCAGAGATGCAGCGATACAGTCAGCTCGTGTGCAGGGGTTTGATGGATTGCTGCATTGCAAGACCCTGTGGGATGGTGGCAGCGGCTTCGAGAGGCCTTCATCCAGTGGTGGATAACTGGTGGCAGGCGATGATGCACTACAAGTCGTGTGTGCATGCGATCTGGGAAGCGGTGGCGCAGTGGTTAAAGCGCTGCGCTGCGAACCCGAGTTTCGATTCCCGGCTCACGGCCAACTATAATGACGATTATCTGAACCGGTTTTGGGCCTCCCCTAGGTCGACTCAGCCTCAAATGAGAACCTGAATGCGGTGCGTAATCGTCACCATGAAGAAGACTAAAGCAACCTGGTGTGGTGCTGGCCACCCACCTCATCCCCCTCGTGTGCCGTGCCGGCCTTCATAAGTGCTCGCTCAATAACAACAGCACTTGCCCCAACAATCTGGTGAGGCTATATGGGGCATCTTTGTCTTTTGGGTCATAAGTACGACGTCAGCGAGGGTTGCCAACTGTTCCAAGGATCGTCCTCTTATCGAGGTGGGCTGTCCTGGGAAATATGAAGATTTTCTGGAACACGAAAAGCCCTGATTTTTGTCAGTTTGCGAGACACCACGCAAGACCCTCCCTCCTTCCTCCTCCTCCTTCTCCCCCAGTATCGTGAGATATTCTTCTCATTCCTGTGATGCCCCAGTTTATTTTTGTTGTGCCGCGGAAGGTGGCGTCCCTCTAGCGCGGCACCGTGAACTGTGAGCACGACTGAGCCCCCAACCGATAGGCGGAGAAATTGTTGAAATGTAAAAAGAAAAAGAACAGGGTTGGTGTTTAAACGAATGGATAACACGAAGAGGAATGGGAACAAAACCCGAACTCGGCATCGCGCTACTGTTTATAACATCACCGTGCACAAGTTCTGCACGGCTGAGGTTTGCCACCGTCTCCAAACACAATAAAGGGCGTAAAACGCACAGGCAAACAGAGCGACACGGGGAGGAAAGAGGCCGTTTGTTTTTTAAGAGGCCCGTTGTATCACGGCCCCTGCCTGGGCCTTGACCCTGGGGTTATGTAAAGTTATGCTTTAGCAGCAAGATGCGGAGGTCACCGTAACCCACCTCAGGCACCCAGGCAGTGTTCACATATCAGAGTTTATACCTCTGGATTTAGAGGTTTGTATAAGTCCAGTGGGGTGGGGGGGGGGGGGGAGAATTCCAGTCTTCGAGAACTACAATCTTGAAGGCTTCATAACACATTAGTCAATTGCACTTAGCCTCGAGATGCTACATTATTCAACGGCCCTTCTTCATATTAACAGAGCGTGGAGGTTTGGTAGACAACTTGAAATCATAATCTGCTTAGCAGTTGAAAGCAATGAAAGTGGGTTCTAATTAATGTCAAATTGTTTGTAAAAGTAAGTCATTCAGAGCTAGGTTGGGAATTGAGCCAGAAGACACTGCGGTCCCAGAGGACTGGACATGTTGCGCACCCCTGGTGTTCTCAATTATCACTGCAACTGGCACTCAGTGAGGCTATGGCATCTATTAACACTGCCACCGACATTCAGTGAGGCTATGGCGTCCATTAACACTGCCACTGGCACTCAGTGAGGCCATGGCACCCATTAACCCAGTCACTGGTACTCAGTGAGGCTATGGCATCCATTAACACTTCCTCTGGTACTCAGTGAGGCTATGGCGTCCATTAACACTGCCACTGGTACTCAGTGAGGCTATGGCATCCATTAACACTGCCACTGGTACTCAGTGAGGCCATGGCGTCCATTCACACTGCCACTGGTACTCAGTGAGGCCATGGCGTCCATTAACACTGCCACTGGTACTCAGTGAGGCCATGGCGTCCATTAACACTGCCACTGGTACTCAGTGAGGCCATGGCGTCCATTAACACTGCCACTGGTACTCAGTGAGGCCATGGCGTCCATTAACACTGCCACTGGTACTCAGTGAGGCCATGGCGTCCATTAACACTGCCACTGGTACTCAGTGAGGCCATGGCATCCATTAACACTGCCACTGGTACTCAGTGAGGCCATGGCGTCCATTAACACTGCCACTGGTACTCAGTGAGGCCATGGCGTCCATTAACACTGCCACTGGTACTCAGTGAGGCCATGGCGTCCATTAACACTGCCACTGGTACTCAGTGAGGCCATGGCGTCCATTAACACTGCCACTGGTACTCAGTGAGGCCATGGCATCCATTAACACTGCCACTGGTACTCAGTGAGGCCATGGCGTCCATTAACACTGCCACTGGTACTCAGTGAGGCCATGGCGTCCATTAACACTGCCACTGGTACTCAGTGAGGCCATGGCGTCCATTAACACTGCCACTGGTACTCAGTGAGGCCATGGCATCCATTAACACTGCCACTGGTACTCAGTGAGGCCATGGCGTCCATTAACACTGCCACTGGTACTCAGTGAGGCCATGGCGTCCATTAACACTGCCACTGGTACTCAGTGAGGCCATGGCGTCCATTAACACTGCCACTGGTACTCAGTGAGGCCATGGCGTCCATTAACACTGCCACTGGTACTCAGTGAGGCCATGGCGTCCATTAACACTGCCACTGGTACTCAGTGAGGCCATGGCATCCATTAACACTGCCACTGGTACTCAGTGAGGCCATGGCGTCCATTAACACTGCCACTGGTACTCAGTGAGGCCATGGCGTCCATTAACACTGCCACTGGTACTCAGTGAGGCCATGGCGTCCATTAACACTGCCACTGGTACTCAGTGAGGCCATGGCATCCATTAACACTGCCACTGGTATTCAATGAGGCCATGGCATCCATTAACACTGCCTCCTGCACTTTGTGAGGCCATGGCGTCCATTCACACTGCCACCGGCATCAATTCGCCATGCTGGGTAGTTCGTGGAGGGGGGGGGGGGTGTTTTGGTGCGAGGTGGGGGGGGGGGGGTCCTATTAAACGACAGCTACAACTACTGTATAGGGGCGACCAATCCGATGTAGAGTTTAGTTTTGAGGTGTTTTTTTTTACATTCGCAGTGTTTTCTAGGCAACGAAATCATTAAAATTATATTTTAGTGGGCAAATTGCACACGAAGGTGGAAGGAATGCTATTCATGAGGTCGTAAACATGATAATAGTTTTGTATTGCACCATTGCTTTTGGCAGGATGTACGATGCAACAGTGAACTTCATGAAGGGGGAGAGCAGGACACGTTAAATTAAAATATAAAATGTATAATCATCATACGTTGTATTTACGTTCGTATTGTTACACGTGGTCACGTGATATTCATTAATACAATTCTGCCACCATCTTCAAATCGCGAGATGTAAAATCCCACCGAGTACAAGCGCACGAACTGATTTCGTCGCTCCATCTCCACACGGGACAGCCAGTATAAATAACTATTTAAAATTCAGATTCTGAGATGTGTTCTCTCCTTTGGCCGATATTTTGTCGTAATCTCTGCCAGTTTCCGCCATCGTTTCGCGCGACACGTCCTGCTCAAGTCCACTTCCTTTTCTTAACAATCAAAATGATGTCTCATTTATGCACGTTACGTTATCCACGTGTTCCCCTTTCGCGTCTCTCGGTGTAATTGCAAGCGTGCACTTCTCCACGGCTTTTTGGGCACGATGCATCCTTCATTCTAGTGTCTTCGTCGAAGTTTCTAACCTACGCATCGTATCAGGTAATACCATAGTCTTTGGGTCTTTCGGTAAAGTCACGTAGATAGAAAAAATATTTTAAAAAAATCACGACGTTTCGATCGCAACACAAGCAATCGTCTTTAGGTGAACAAATACAGCAGGCGGACTGCTGTATTTTTGCGATCGAAACGTTGTACTTTTTTTTCATAATTTTATAATTTTTTCTATCTACGTGACTTTACCGAAAGATCCAAAGAGTATGAATTCCTGCAGTCACGAAAGCTTTAAATCAAGGTAATAGCATGTTTTAAAAAGGACAATCATGAACATTTGTTCACGTGAATAATTGTTTTGTCTGTAGTTTGTTGTCCTTCCCCGCACCTCAGTTGAGTACGGTTAGCGACGTGCGGTGCGAAAGAAGTTCAACATACACACATACACACATACACAAATACAAATGAATGACTTTCCCATTTGCCGATGGAAAGTATGTTCAGTAGAAATCTCTCCGCACTGGCTCCTGTAAAATTAACAGCCTTTAAAGCAACGCCACACAAGCTTGTAGGCTTGCAAGTTGTAACAATAAAGGCACTTTGTCAACTCATAAAACAGTAAATAAATCGTAAAAAAAACATTTCCTTAATAACACAACGTAGAGTTCGCCGGATGGTTTAGGAGTCTGAGCTCTGATCTGGCACTGCTGAGAATCCTGGGTTCGAATCCAGGCAGCCGCCCTGTGATTAAATTGGGGGTCGCCGGCCAGTCACCAATGACTGGCCACGAAAAAATCCATCACGTAAAATTTGATTTGTTTCTATCTTGAACTTCTTTTGCACCGTATGTAGCCAACCATACTACGTACGGTTTATCACTTCATTTGAGTAAACTCCTGCTCTGAGAATTAAACATTTAGTTTTTGACCGACGCGTAAGGAACAGGGCGTTGACAATGGATGCCCTCTTCTAGACAAAGAGGTCGATTGAAGTGACCTCAGAAGGCAGTCCCTGTGACGTCGTCTTCCGGGGGATGTTCTCTCTGGCACGTGGTGGTGCACCGCTCGCTGCATTTAAAATAAATTGCCGAAAATGTGCGACCCGAGAAAAATCATTTCCAAAAATAAAGATCCCTTTGTCAATCCACTGCTGGATGAAGGCCTTCCCCATGCTGCGTGCAGAAACGAGATGGGTTGCTGCATCGCGAGGCCCGTGAGAGATTGTGACGGATAGAGGGGAGCCTTCGTGCGGCAGTAGATAGATCACGGCTGATGACGACGACGATGATACCACAACCGTGTAACCGGGCGAGGGTTCCCAGATGCTTGCGCTGTCACTCACCGCAGGGCGGGGGCCACTTGCAGAAGGGAGCCGGGCACCCGGGGTCCCGTGTCCGTGGTGGTCCCCTCGAAGCGCGCGGGGGCTGATTGGGGGCGCTACACCGTGGGCGGTGGGGTGCTCGGTGCGACCTGCAGTGGGGAGCCTTGGGGGTCAGGAGCATGTGAGCCAAGTAGCGTGGGCACGGCTCGTCGTTCTCCGCTGAGCGACCTGCAGGCTGCAGCAACAACAAAAGACAAAGATCCCCCGTATAGCCTTAACAGACTGTAGGGGCAAGTGCTGTTAGCGAGCACCTATAAAGGCCGGCACAGCACACTTGAGGCTGAGTCGACTTTAGGGAGGCCTAGGACCGGTTCAAATAATCGTCACTGGTGTTGACGAGAATCGAACCCGGGTCACCAGGTTCGTAGTGCAGCGCGCTAACCGCTACACGACCGCTCCCCACTAGCACCCGGCACACAGAGAGGCACACACACACACGCAGGTACATGTGTTACTCGTACACTACTACATACAGCTGTTGATAGATCATGGCTAGTGATGATGATACCACAACCATATCCAGCAGGGTCTCATGTTTGAATTTGGCACCATGGTGGCGAGCTGTTAACTACCTCGCCTGGTATACAATAGGTCGTGGTTTCGATCCTTGACGCCTGTATATTTGGCGTTTGCATGTTATCCCCGTGGTCACGTGGATGATTTTCCCCGTGCTCCGGGTTTTTCCTCCACATTTAGAATAAAAATGCGTTGATAGTATTTTTGGCTGCTATACATTTCCATATGATAAGCCAACTTCGTTGAGTTATTATTTGTGGCCAGGTCGCTTCTGAAAAAAAGCGATATAGCTTAGTGGGCCTTACCTGGTAAAATAAAAAATAGTTTAGTTTTAGTTCAGCTTGTGCACTGTTTTTCGATCGCTTCCGAAGAGACAAAGAAAACAGATCTAAAAAGATTCCTATTCGCAGATACGCAAGCTACCTGTGGGGTTCCTTACTGCTAATTAAACACTCTCAAAGAGAGACACCAAGTGGAAGTCATAAGGATGTGCATGTTTTTTTCCCCGAACGTATGTGGCTTCCACGATGCAAAATGTGGCCCCAAAACCAGACAGCAAACATCCCGATGGGTCCGCAGCATCTGAAGGTCTCGGGCATTCGTGGAATCGCTCCGGCAACAATGGGTGCAAAGGTCAGCTGCTGTAGCTGTCTGTAAGCTTGCGGAATACGTACGCAAGCGCAAAGACGAAAATCCCCCCGTATATCCTTTACGGACTTTAGGAGAAAGTGCTGTTCGCGAGCAATCTATGAAGGCTTAAACGGCACATGAGGGGGGGGGGGGTAGTGGGGGGGGGGGCAGCACCACGCCCGGCCGCCTTTGTCTCCCAAGTGACGATGTTCACACAGTTATACCTAGAGGAGGCTACCTAGAGGAGGCCGGTTTAGATATTCGTCGCTGGTGTTGGTGGCCGTGGGCCGGAATCGAATTCGGAGCGGGGCCCGGGTTTTGGCAGCGTCGCCACACGTGCCGCTCCCCGCACACGTCCGTGACACCTGAACACACACTTGGGCCATAAAGCACAGGTGCGCTGGCTCGGAAACGCGGGCAACGCGTCACTGTCGAGCGAGCCAGCAGCCAGCCAGCGCCTCGATTGCCGCGTAAAATATGGCTCGCTTTTATCAAGCCAAAGAGCGTGGCCCCGACACACAGAGAGAGAGACATCAATCAGAGACATTCAACGGGGGGCAGCAATTCCCTGTGACTGGTTTTGTTGTTGTTGTTGTTCACCACTCGCATTCGAGGCTGACAAACGTGCACTGTTGCATTGCGGGAAATCCGAACGGGTAGGTAAGGTGGTCGCAACGGTGGAGAGATTTTTTTAGACTTTTGTACGGGTCATTATTTGTAAGAGTTAAAAAAAATTCACCTGGAAAAACCCTCGAAATTGAAGGAACATGTCGCTTTGCAAGTGGGTTCCAAAGTTTCAATTATTGATACTTCATTCATCATCATCATCGTAAAGTGTCATCATCCATCCCTTCACGCTCTTACGATGATGTCACAGGGACATCTCGCTCTGACACGTGCGCCAATCTAATCGCTGCATCTCGGTCACGGTCGTCCCCTCGGGTGTGTTTCCCTCCATTGGCTGCCATTCAGTCGCCAGTCTCGGCCATCAGCCACGAGGCCCTTGTTCTCGCGACGTGTCCTGCCAGCGCCCATGCCCCACTTACTTTGCTTAAGTAAGAGGCGCCACGGTGGCGAGATGTTAACTACTTCGCCAGGTATACAGCAGGTCGTGGGTTCGAGCCCGACCCTGACGCCTGCTGTATATTTGGAGCCTGCGTGTCTCTCTCTCTCTTTGTGGTCGCGTGGATTTTTCTCCGGGTCCTCCGATTTTCCCCTCCACATTTAGAATGAACACGCGTTTAGAGTATTTGGCTGCTATAAATGTGCATATGAAAAGCCACTTCGTTGGACTATCATTTGTGGCCAGGCCGTTTCTAAAAAATATCTATATAGCTCAGTGGGCTATACCTGGTAAAATGAAAAATATTTAGTTTGTAGTTTAATAGGCAATGTTACGTGTCCGGATTGTGTCTGTTCTCTGAACCACGTGTTCCACATTCGTGTCATAACACACAATGTTCCCATTGTTGAAATATTGCCTCTCTGGGCACATTGGTATGCAACTTCAATTACCCAAAAAGCACTCCGCACCTGCAATTTTCTCGGCAAACTTTATTTAATTTGTTTATTGATTGCCACTCCACCGTCAACAAACGCTCACTCTCTCGGCTGTCTTCCCGACGTGTCCCCTACAGCACTCGTATTTTATTTTGTTGAGCGAACCGATTCTAAATGACTTTTTATTTTCTCTCATATATCTTGTGGCCAACTTGACAAGCCACCGTCGCTTAAACCTCTTCAATCATCCACGCACGGTTCATTTCTGTCTCATTCGTTACAGTTAACTGCATTTTTTTTGTAAATAAAACTATAGCACATTACTGTCACGTAGCGCCCCCTGCAGTGCTTCGCTTCAGTAACGCATGCTGCTGCGTGTCAGTCTTGACTTGGCTGTGGAGTTGGCTTTTAAATCAACCTCTTCTTATCCCGATTGAGCTCTGTCCATGTCAAGCCCAACGCCCGCCCTATTAACCCCCCCGCCCACCGTACCCCGGGTGAAATAATTAGCCCGCAGAAGCGGATATCTCAGAACTGCCTTTGAGATCATTTCAAGTGACTTCTGATGTACACTACACGAGGGGGCAGCACTTCACCACCCGTCCCAGCTGCAGGACAAAATCTGTCGCGCGACCATAACTCTCATTCTCAGAGTTGGAGTTTTAGAATATTTGGCTGCTGGTATAACGCCACTTCGTTCAGCCATCATGTGTGGCCAGGGTCGCTTCTGGGAAAAGAGCCCTCCCTATAGCTCAGTGGGCCTTACCTGGTACAATAAAAAAAATGTTTATCTGACAGGCGGCTAAAACCTGGATTCGAACTCGGGATCTCAGCGCTCTGATCCCCGATGTATTGGAACGCCTCAAGATTGTGGAATGTGGAATTAGGGGCAAGCCCTCTCCGTGGAGCTGGGGCAATGCGACCAGCGAATAAACAGATAAGAGATTAATTTACGCCATCGCAAGACCGTGAAGGGAGGCGACGGCTTGAGGTAAGGCCTTCATCCAGCAGTAGCTGCTGCTGATGATGATGGTGATAATGATTAAGTGACACAGCGCTGCGTCAAGGCTGCGCCAGCCAGAAGTTGCAGGGTGGTTGTGGACTAACGACGCATTTATATTTACGTGATCTAACTCCCCCCCCCCAAAAAAAAGATAAACAAAAAACAACCTTCATTACGAAGAGTCTCACAGACACTTTATGGAACAGAGACGCGAGACTTTGGAAAGCGAGGGCTCCACGCTGGACGTCACTCACCGTGGTAGCGAAAGTACCCTGACCCCACAGGGTGGCCTTCTGCGCGAAGGTCATGTAGCTCGGGAGAGGCTGCGGTAGAAACAAAGGGGGACACACGTGAAGGGATGGACAAGGTTGACTAAAGCATACATAATTAGTACTATCTTGATTTGAAGCTTTCGTGACTGCAGCAATCCATACTCTTTGGTTCTTTCAGTAAAGTCACGGAGATAGAAAATTAATAGATCACGACGTTTCCATCGCGACACAAGCAATCGTCATCAGGTGAGACAAACACAGCCCCGCACCTCCAATTAGCACGGTTGGCTTACGTACGGTGCGAAAGAAGTTCAACATACATACAGTGGGGGGATTCTACGTTTTGACTTGAGCAGCAACGATAAGTAGATGTCTAATTTCAGCTGCTGGCTGGCTTCAGAAGACAATGAGTGTAAGCCACGATGAGAATGCCGGCAGTGAACATGAGCAGTGGATCGACCACGGCCGATGATGAGAACGACGACGACGACGATGATGATAAGTGTGATAAGGAGAGGTCCCTTACCCGCAAAGAAGACTCCCTGCTCAGCACAGTACGATGGACCCGGCTCAGGATGCGAACCTGTGGATCAGACGCCGGGGCCCGGGCTGGAACATTTCCTCCAAAGGCCATAACTTCCCTAAACCCTCTCCGATCTTCCCCACAGCGACCTCCTTCCTGCCTCCAGCCCCCCTCACACTCAGCAACCCCCCCCCCCCACCTCTTTGTTCCGTCTGGCGCTGTTCGTCTCAGTGGCCCAGCATGGGTGGGTGGCATCGGCCCTGGAGCAAGCAAGGGAATGAGGCCTCTCCCGGTTCAAATGCCCCCCCACCACCACTCACTTCGTAGCACGGCCACCTGAGAGCTCCTTCGGTCCACGGGTTTCCCGGTGCAGTTCCACCGCCTGCACACTCGATAGCTACGCCTCTGAACTGACTCCGTTTCCAAGCCCTTCCCTCCACGGCCTTGTCTCTGTCTTCACGTACAGCCCGTCCCCCTGTGTATCCTTCTCTCAGCTTCTCAGAAGTCTCACTAAGGGACCTAATGCTTTCGCACCCCGTGCCGTTACACGATGGTGTTTCAGTAATTAGAATCAGAATATTTACACGGGAGGAATCCGATGAGTTATAGAGCTCTTTGTTCCACAGATGTCCAGTCGGGGCAGGTCAGAACGTTACGATAACAAACCATGCAACATGTTCTCCCGCAAGCCTTGCGCCCCTCCATTCCTCTTCGTACTCACGTCTGCCATCCCATTGCAATGTATTCCTGCTTCCAGCACACTGGGCTGTTTCTAACGGCACATTTGCGTCTCTCGCTTGCCGTTCTCCTGTCTCCTCGTGTCTCCAGATCTCCCCGTGCCTCTCTCGGTCTCTCCGCCGACTTTAATAAGCCGCATGCAAGCGGAATGAATCGCAAGCATCCAAAGTGTCACAGTCTGGACATCTCCTGGAATGCGGCAATCATTAACGCGTCCCTCTGCACCGCTGCCAAGTTCTCACGACCCCCGGGGGCCAAGCGAACGGGCTCGGTGTGACGGCAACATCACTCATACACAGTGACATGGATACACGCAACCGTGTGCTACATCTTCATCATCAGCAGCAGCAGCCACTGCTGGATGAAACCATTTCCGTGCCGTCACCATCCCTCGCAGGATTGCCACAATACAATCTCACTCCTGCACGTGAACCCATCTCGTCGCTCCATCTCCACGGTGGCCACCCTCTCAAGCATCTTCTCTCCTTTGGCTGCCATAACAGCACCAGCCTTGAGCATCGGTCAGAGATGCGTCCATGATAAAGAAGCTAATATCTCAGTGGGCTTTACCTGGTGAAATAAACATTTTATTTTTTTTAAATGTGATTTTCTCACCTTTCCTACACTATGCACTCCTATCGTGTATTCGTATTGTTTGTTGTTGTCACTTTCTGATCCGCCCTGAATTGGTATCTCTGAAACTAAGCTCATCGGATTCCTCCAAGTGTAAATGAAGATTCTGATTCTAATACGGACATCCTTGACAATGCGGGCAATGCCAGCGAATAACGAGTCTTGTCTGATCCAATGCGGGGTTCAATTTGTCACTGAATATTTTGCTGCTGTCTGCTAGTTTGGAGTAGGTGGCACGTGACGACCAGCCATAGCCACAGGTATACTGGATGTTGTATGCCGGATCTGGTTTAGTTTTTTGTTCAGGCCGCTGACCCGGACAAACCAATGCAGCTGAAATTAAGCCACGTGGTAAAATTACCCCTTCATTCACACTGATTTTACATCGGAATCGAAGTGAAGGGTCACTTAAGATATGTGTATACGACCCAACCATTGATCGCATTGGCAGTGAGGGTAAACACTCCGCAATGGTTAACAGAGAGACTCTCTGAGCTCATCACCCCCGAGAGGAAAGTAGTGAAGAGCAGGAGACCCCTCCGCATGTTAAAGAAAGCACATACCACGAAGGCAGACAGTTCACGTACAAGAGCCTTTACATCATTTTGGGGCACGTGCTGTTAGCGAGTAGCACCTATGAAGGCCGGCACGGCACACGAGGGGGTGGATGGCCAACACCACGCCCGACGGCCTTTGCCTCCCAGTGGCGATGTTTACACATCGCACCAGGTACTCATTTGAGGCTGAGTCGACCTAGAGGTGGCCCAGGTCCGGTTCAGATAGTCGTCATTGTAGTTGGCCGCGAGCCTGGAATTTAACTCGGGTTCGCCGGGTTTGCAGCGCAGCGCCTTAACCACTGCGCCACCGCTCCCCATACACATACACGCAGCGTACAAGACAAAGATCCCCGTTATAGCCCAAACAGAAGATGCGCCTTCCGTCCGTCGAAAACCGGTCCGGGGTTTAGCTTCGGCTTAAACGAATGTTGCGAAAAGCCTAAAGCTATTGCGCTCCCAGAAGGCCGTGTATGCCATGGGATGCTGTGAAATGTGGATGGGATCCTGACACTGAAGTGTTTGAGACATCTCTCTGCGGAGGAAATGGGGTGTCGCCCCACAACTCTCTGCGACATACAGCGATCCATTTTTTTCCCGTAAAAGTGTGACTGAGATTTATGAGTTGGACATTATCATGACCATTCCTGTAAAAGTTCACATGTATTGCTGTGACTTCGTACTGTCCAATGTACACACATTAGGGCTCTTTACTGCATAACGCATTTCCTCTGGCCTCTTACTGTAAAATCATTTTAGTATGTGTTCGTAAAAACACAAAATTATACAACACACACCACATACCAGCGTCGTTGTGGATAAAATAGTAACACAACAGATAGGCAGACCTAGGTATCTTTATATAAACAATGCATTTTTGAACTTCTTTCGCACCGTACATAGCTAACCGCGGCCATCGGACGTGCCGGGGAAGGACAACAAATTAAACACAATAAGCTGTTGTGAATAAATCAGTTTCAAAAGTGCACAGCTCCAGTGGCTTCCTAATATCGGAAGGAGGAGCGTTCCAGACGGCCGCAGAAGCGCATCTGAAAGCACGTGATGCAGGTGACTGCCTTTGTTCAATGGCTGAGCCAAAAGCAGCTGCTGCTGCTGCTGCTGAGGCAAGGATGACCGGACTGAGTTCGCGTGATGGTTTATGCTTCTTGGGCGAAATCAGCGATGTTACGGGAAGAGAGCCATGGTCCACGCGAGATGCCCCTCTTTGGTAACAAAGGGCTACCCCCCGTCCCGTGTAAACACGTAACAGGGTCAGCTGCCTGTGAGACTTTACAGCCCTGGTGGTAAAAAAAAACATATACAGGGGCTTTAAAAAACTGTTAACACTTCTGAGAATTTGCAACAATACCACAATGCTCTGGAGACCACCTGGAGAAGATTCCAGGCATGTGCTGACAATGATGGCAAACAAGTGGATACTCTTTGACATTTTGAAGCTGTTAACATGCATGTGCTGGCATGTCACATGAAAATCGATAGGCCCATATAAGTTTCGATTTAAAGCTTTCGTGACAGCAGGGATTTATGTTTGGTTCTTTCGGTAAAGTCACGTAGAAGGGAAATAATACGTGACTTTACCGAAAGAACCAAGAATATTAATCCCATATAACTGTTAACACCCTGTATATAACCATAAAATATTACTGCCCGGTTCTGAGATTCGGTAAACTCACAAAACGTAACCTCGCTCACAGTGTCCAGCAAAGTTTGCATCGGAAACCGAATTTCCAGACAGACTTCATCCACTGCTAGACTGGGCTATACGCCGTGAGCAGTATAGGAGGGTGGGGGCAGAATGCAGTACTGTACGTGTACAGCAACATGCCCACCGTGCAATTAGTACTTCTGTCCCGCGGTGACCAGGACGGTGAAGTATGGTCGAACAACCGCCACAGGACCGGCACGGCGTGGGGAGCGGCCCAATAGTAACATTGTTTAAAGTGTTATGGGAGGTGGGTTACCACACAGTCAATGTTAATTAAACTTTAACCAAGTGATGAACGCCGAAACGGTGTGAGTATAAGCGATACGATCTGCCTTTGTCGATCGTGCCACTCTGCTCGATGTCTCACACGCACGTGTTAGTTGTTATCATTTGAAAAGCCGAATGAAAATTCATCGCTGCTGTTAAATATTGAACCGACTATTTCGGCCACGTCTAAGACTTTTGAAAAGGGGGGGGGGGGGCTGGGAGGGATCTCACCCCCCGCCCCCCACCCCAATCCGACGTTATGGGGCTGATGGGGAGGCCCTCATTCAGCAGTGGGTTGACAGAAGAAGGGGTATGTGCAGGGTGGGTCCAGATGTCTTGTGACCCCCATTTACTTCTCTAACGCTTCATATATATAGTTACACACTCTTTGGGTCTTTCGGTAAAGTCACGTAGAAATAATTTTGTTTTTTTAAATCACGACGTTTCGATAGCAACACAAGCAATCGTCCTCAGGTGAAAAAATATATCTACGTGACTTTACCGAAAGACCCAAATAATATGAATTCCTGCAGTCACGAAAGCTTTAAGTTCATATATAATTAAGAAGGTGTATTTAAGACAGAAATGAATATGTAACGGGAAACGAAATGTTCGGGGTCAATTAATTGGAGGGGGGGTGGAGAGAGGGGGGTAGGAAGTCACAAAACATCTGGACCACCCAGGGGCGGTTTCTTCATTAGGGCGATTGGGCGACGCACCACCAAAGTGTGAAAGGGACTTTTTCAATCACATTCAAAATCTCATTCAACCAGAGTTACGCTAGCCGTTACTGTGCCTCTGGATATAGTCCAATCAGCGTCATGTCACGTTCTGTGGAGTACCGCCTCTTTTTGGGCGATTTCACTCTGGCTGAGAATCGCCCAGAGTGTTCCCATAGACTTACATTCAAAGATGTTTTTTTTTCGAACGGCGAGCGCTGCAATGCATTCTCTATGGCTTCCGGGAGAGCTCGCACTAACGTGCTTACGTGATCATACGTAAGCACGTTTCAGTCAACAATATTATTTGTCGCCACCTAGTGGAATCTTTAATAAAAGAAACTGAGTGGATTGTAATAATAGTGAGTATAGAAACAAACAAGGAGATGTATTGTAAGAGTCACTTTATTTTTCATTAATATTAAAGTAGTGAAGTTGCCTTTACATGCTTAAGCTGTTAATTTATCCATTGCATGGGTGGACCTTATCCTTA